CCAGCGTCCCCCATGCCCAACGCAACGGGCTGATTCAGAGAAACACAGGCTGACATGATAGCCACTGAAGAAAAAAAAGAAAATCTTAATTTTTTTCATTTTTTAAAAATCCATTTTATTTCAAAGAGACAACACAAAACAAGACAAAATGTATCATAATTTAATGCCTGTATTGTATGACTGACTTTGCAGGCCTAATACCAGTTAATCTGACTGTCTACTTAGAGGATAACAAATTGCAATATAGCAACTATGGGGGATGTCCTTCTGGAGGTAGTAGCCATTGTTTTTCCTATTATTTTAAGTCCTGTATTATTTTCATTGTTTGGTTTGGTTTGGTTTTATTCTGTTTTTCTTGTTTGTTTGATTTTATCATATCTGATGGCATGGGCAACTATTTTGAAGATAATATGTTATGGAAGCCATTGTTGATTTCTTATTATCCGGTTTTGAAATCCTGTATGGCTTTGTTTTGTTTTGATTGGTTTTATTCTTTTCTGTTTTTTTTTATTTTATTATGTCTCATGGTATGGAGAGCTATTTTGAAGATAACAAGAGGCATTATGGTAGCCATTGTTGATTTCCTATTAACCTGTTTCCAAGTCCTGTATCACTTTCACTGCTTTGTTTTGTTTGGCTTTATTCTGTCTCATTTTGTTTGGTTTTATTCTCTTTAAAATAAAAATTAAAAAAAGAAAAGAAAACCTGTTTAGGGCATTTTGGGGATGGAACAAAGTAGTTGCAGATGTAGGACCTGACACCTTAGCCTGTACCTCACCCATTGGTTATAGACGACAACTTGAACGTTGCCTTTTCCTGGTGGTCCTCCCTGACAGCTCAGGTGGCATCAGCTCCTTGTCATCACAGCACTGTTCGTTGCTTGGTATTTCCTTATCCGTTTATGGCCTCCTCCGCAGAATGTAAGCTCCGTGAGAACAGGAACCCAGTCTCTCTGGCCCACAGGACACGCATTGGCCCAGGTGGGAAGCTCAATAATTGTGTTTGGAGCAACATTTTGAATATCAAACAAGTTTCATTCTAGTGTGTGATGTACCCGAAGCAAAAGAAATAAAGACTGCTGCACTTGAAGACGGAGCAGGGCGTGCAGAGGATAAGACAGAGTCAGTGTGCAAGGCTTGCACAGGATGAGCACAAGGAACTGTGCAGAGGAGGAGAAGAGCCGCCACGGGAAGCAGGCACCTGTACTTGGAAACTGTGACCTTGACTGGCGTCAAGGTCATCCTGGGTTTCAGGCGGTGCTGACAGGGTAAGGGAGACCCTCCCCCTCCTCGAGCCAGAGCCACGGGGGAACAGGAAGCAGGGAGTACAGCAGAGCCTGTGGGCACCTTGCTCAGCCTGTTTCATCGCTGCAGAGGAGCACAGAGAGAGAAATAAACCCGAGGAGCAGCGGGGATGGCAGTTGTGCCTGGCTGGAACGGAAGCTGCTGCCTCCCATTTTAGGTACCAGGAATCCTTATCATCACCAACCAGGCACATTTCAGGTGATGTTCACAGCCCTGGTGTCCTTCTGAGTTTTGTGGGACCTTTGTTTCATTAAAAAACAAATAAGTAAAATAGCTGCAGGTGTTTAGCGTAACAAATTCAGACTTTTACGAAGTTAGGAAAAAAAATTATCTTCCCCTCCAATACTGTCAGATTTTTTTTTTTTTTTGATCTAACCCACAACCTTGAAATATTCAATTTTTTTTCCAGTGACTGAGCCCAGAGCATTCACACTGAGGCACATTCTCAGTCCTTTTTTTGTTGTTTAGATTTTCATTTTGAGACAAGGTCTTGCTAAGTTGCTAAATTGTCTGGGCTGGGCTTGAATTTGCAGTCATCCTGCTTCAGCGTCCTGCTTTAGCCATGGTGCTGGGATTACATCACACTTGTTTTTAAACTTTTCCTTTTTAGTAAATTAAAATTGATAATACATTCATATGGCTCAAAATTCAAAAGTCACAAAGAGGACTAGGGGTCTTTTCCACCCTTATTGTCTGGCGACCACTGAGGTCTCTGCTTCTAAGGCCCCCAATGTAAGCAGGTCCTTTTGTCCTTCAGTAAATATTCCCTACAATTCTAGGTTTTCTTTGGAGGCTATTCAACAGGAGCAGAACCACTCAGAGATCCCTTTTGGAAGGGAGATTTCTTTTCTCTAGGTGAGCTGAGGCTTCCGGCGTGGCTCTTGGCTTCTGCCTGTGAAGAAACAGCAGTAGCAGGAGCCCTGTGGCTGGGGCGGGGTGGGAGGGTGTCCCACAGCTCATTGGCAGACGACACACGGTGCAAAGGAGCCTTCAGATGTGGTCTGCCAGGTGTCAGGTGTCCCAGCACTCTTCTCATTTTAAAGGATGACTAAACAGACTGTAAATATGGCAAGAGAAATGTAGCCATCATTTGTGATAGGCAACAGTTTCAAGGTAGCAGATAGGGCCTTCTCTGAAGAGTACCTGGTGTGGGATGAAAATGTGGGAGGAAAAAGCTGTTTTAAAGAAGCCACACTGGATGTATCTTTATAAAAGGGAGTCACTTTGCAGCTGAGCTAAGGTGTATCCAAAGGGGGATGAAATAAATCAGGCAGCTGGCTTCCATAGATGGCACAAGGAAACTGAGAGTGATGGGGTGGACCCGGCCTGGAGGGATGCCTCATTCTGAAGGAGGAACCACTCTAGAAAGCAGGGGAGGAAGACTGACCAACCTGGAACTGCCACGTGATGGAAGATCCCAGGCAACCTATTCTGCAGAAAGGATAGCCTTCCCTGTTTTCCCTTCCCTTGCCGGGGCCTTCCCACTCCGCTGCATCTCCAGCCCTTCTTCATTTTTTTATGTTGAGGCAAGGTTTTACTAAGCTGCTAAACTTGCTGAGCTAGGGCTTGAACTTGTGATACTCCTGGTTCATCCTCCCGAGGGCTGGGGGTGACAGGTATACACCATTGTACTTGGTGAATGGGACAGTCTTTGAGGCAAAATGAGAGACAGGCAAGTAGGCTGGAGGATGACAAGGCATATGGGGCTCGATCCTGGCTCCACTGTTTTCAGCAGTGTGGATGGAAAAGTTACTCAAACTCCTTGACCGGGACGGGACACAGGGACAAGAACCCTCTCTCCTGGGAGTGCTATGCGATCCACTGAGTTAGTCCCTGGCCCACAGTATTTTTTCCCTTTGGAGCAGCCCTGGGGAATGAACCCAGGGTTTTCACACTGAGCTATAACTCACACCTTTATCAATTTTTATTTTGAGACAGAGTTTTTATTAGATTGCCCAGACTGACCTTCAACTTCTGATGGGCTCGCCTCAGCCTCCCAGTGTTGCAAGTGCAGGCAGGTGCCACCATGCCCGCCTCGCAGTGAGGGTATAGAACAATGTCTGGCACCTGGTCAGCTAGCTCAGTGGCTCACACCCATTTCTGTTTGTAATGAAGGCCTGTGCAGGCCTGCTCTGCTGGCACAGAAGTACTTGGCAATGAACCTAGAAAGACAGAATCACGGATGGATTTCAGGTAATGGAAAGGGAAATCGAAGGAAAAGGGAACAGTATCATGGCAAGAACACAGCAAGGGGAATGAGGATGAAAGGGCTCAGGGTGTAGCCGTTTAGGGAAAAATCCTCTTGCAGGCCCTTAGCGTTCACACCCAGTGAATGTTTCCTATTCAAGGAGAGCTTATGTATATGTTACATTTTTTCTTTTTTTTTTTAATCGGTACCAGGGATCAAACTCACGACCGCGTGCTTGCAAGGCAGGGGCTTATGCCGCTGAGCTAAATCCCCAGCCCCGAGCTTATGTATATGTGTGTCTACTCAGACCTTACACATTATGAGTAGGGAACATGGCCAGGTCGCACAGCAGGAACCCCACCCAAGATCCATAAGAATTCAGGAAACTTGGGATCTAGTCTGAGCTCTGTCCTAAGTGGCTAATGCCATATTGAGTCAAGACAATTAACAGTCTTTTTCTTTCTTTTAAGGTGAAGTCTTACTATGTCCCCCAGGCTGGTTTTGAACGCCTGGTCTTTTCTTTCCAGGTCCCTTGCCAAAATGGGCAAGATTGGTAAATACTGGCACCAGGAGAGTGTGATCTTTTTGTTTTCTTATCCTTTTCAGAAAAGCCTAGCGTTTCATTTTTCTTTCATTAAAGTTACTTCCAGATTGGGAGGCATGTAATAGGAAATAATGGGAAGAGATAAAAAAATGTGATTTATTTGCCCAAAGAAAATGGAGCTTGTTTTGCCTCGGAGAAAAGTGCAGTTCGACTGTGACTGTTCAGGTTCAAACCACCTTTTCACCAGCACTGCCCTGGAGTCCGGAGTCCGGGATTAGGAGACGGATCTGTTACAATTTAGCCCTTACTGGAGCGTGTACACGGACGGGCCAGAGGCAGCTTCCAAACCCTCAGGTCACTCACTGGCATCTCTGTTGGGGCACTAGAGCTGAGGATGTGCTGGTCACAAAACCTGTGCTCCTGACTTTGACTCTGCAGGAAGGTCTGGTGTTTTAGGAGAAAAATCTTGAGGATATGGCTGCTTGCCCAAAGGCTATGGGTCTGCGTCTTGCTTGTTCATCAACCTGTCAGTCATTTTTTTTTTTTCCCCAGTACAACACAATCTAAACCTAGAAACATCCTAGAAACATCGAATCTTGAGCATTTTCCAGAGATGGTGTCACACGAAGGCCCTTGAACTAGTAATCTGGATTGGGGTAGCCTACACTGGGAAACCCCCAGTTAGCCCGGAGGGGTCCGCACTGCGGGGCGACAACCTATACCTCAGCTGCAAACCCAAAGGTTTCATCATCTGCCAATCGTGATCCGGGACTCCTCAGGACAAGCAGAAACGCCCACGATAGTGAATGGCACTAAAGCTAGCCTATCGGCGAGGAGGCTGTGAAGGGGTGGGGTAAGTACTAACCAGTAGGATAGAAACAGTTGATGTTGGGCGGGAGGAAAGCGCCAGAGAGAGTGTGTGAAGCTGCTCCTGGGAAGCCAAGGCAGGAAGCTTGCAGAGCCAATGGCTGTGGCGGGCGGGCGGCAGCGCGCCTGCGCGCTGGGGCGCGGGTATGCAGGCGGGAGGCGGGGAGGGTGGGGGAGGGGAGCGGGCTGGAGCGCCGCGGAGCTTTTGCCGTCGCTGCAGCCGCCGCCGCAGCGAAGAGGCCATGTTGTGTGGAGTGTGGGGCGGGGGGAGGAGGAGGAGGGAGTAAAGCCGAGAGAGGAGACGGCAGAGACACCACACACACGGCACAAGATGGCCGGAGAAGCAGCAGCACCCCAAGCTGTCAGGCGCTCCGCCGCGGCCCAGGGGCTCTTCGGCCGGCGGGGAGCCCCTCCTGGGCGGCCCCAAGGCCCGCGGGAGTCGGGCGGCGGCGGCTGAGGCGAGGCGGGCGACGCGCGGGGGTCGGAGCCCGTGGCGGAGGCGCTGGGGAGGCCGGGCCCGCGACGCCCGAGCTCCGCTGCGGCAGCGGCCGCCGAGGCTCCCCGCGGTCTCGGCTGCCGGGCCCGGCGTGGGCGGGCGGCTTGGGCGCCCGGGGACGGCCCGGGCTGGTGGACGGGCGCTCCGGAGGAGCCGGCGGCCGCGCGCGGACCCGGTGAGTGGCTCTCCGGCCCCTTTTATTGTCCTTTGTCCTTGGGAGGAAAAGCAAAATGTCCTTGAGCGCGCGGGCAGGAGGGGGCGGCGGGCCGGGCCGCGGTGCTCCCCGCGCAGCCCCGGGGGTCGCGGGCACCTCTACGGGGGTCGCAGGCCCGGGTCGCCGGCCAGGAGGGGACTCGGGCGGGGGCGGGCTCGCTGCGGGACCCCCGACCCGCAGAGGGAGCGAGGGGCGGCGGCGGGGACCCGCGCGGGCGGGAGCCCTTGCCTGTCTTGCCTTGTATTTTGAGGTTTAGGGTGAAACAAAAAGCCCCTTTCGGACTCTCCCTCGGAGGAGCCTTTTAATCTCTTTCGGGTGAGGTGGGAACTCGTCTAGGAGGGTGAATTTTAAAAGAACAATGGAACCTTGACTACATTGAAACAAAAATATAACTTGGTCCCCCCCCATTGGGTGTTGGCTTTTAACTCTTTCAATGCTGATTTTCAAAACGGGCTGCAGGGTTGTAGATGTGAAGATCCGTGCTACTTATCCAACCTTTACGGCGCTGAGGTCGTCTTTTCAAAATGCCAGTTGGGGAAAATTAGCAAGACTCAGGGTACGGCGTCGCCAGGGGTGTTTTCGTGGAAGGGGATTTGATCCTTACGGGGCTGGGTGATGACGTTTGATTAGGATGGCTTTATTTTGCTGAGAATTATGCCACGATCGTTTGACACCCCGATCGTTGAATATGGTTGCCTATACTGCTGGGGTAGTTTTTAAAAAGGTCGGGAACCGTTGCCTGTAAGTTCTCCCACCTAAATGTGAACACGTACTTAGGTCAGTTCCTAGTCTTTAAAAGTTGAGGTTGCTAATCTTATTATTGTGTATTATTACCAGCCGTGATGGGAAAACTTTTCTTAAGGAACACTCTGACACCAGGTCTCTTGGTGAAGTTACTTTCCCGTGTAAACCTTGGAGTGGGACTGCTCTCGGTACTGGGCAATGGAGAGGAGCCATATTTGTTGCATGTATAAAAATCTAGGTGGGTTTAGAAACAGCAGAGCAGTGTTAAAAATACAGGTTTCAGGAAATCGCAGAGTTTTCTGCATAGCTTGTAATTTAAAAAAAAACTATGTTTGAAGGGGAATTTAGGTTAAATGGTTTGGAGAAAAAACTAGGAGCTCAGAAACCTTTGTTTATTGTGTATTTATCTTCATTTTGCAGAACTTACGTGTTTTAAAGGTGCAGAGCTGTGTAAAAATAACTGTTGGGAAAACTTGCAGAGTACATCTGAAATCAAAGATAGTGGTTTATTTGACCGTATTCAAAAGGGTGTTTTTGTTCCAGTAAAAATTTTTTTGAAATAGAATTCATATAGTAATACATATTACATCAGTTGCGCATATCTTGCTTTACAGACTGTCGTTTAAATAACAGTGTTGCTTCTTGAACGTTTTTGAAATTTTTGAACTCCGCAGTGGTTTAGATACTCAAAATGTAGTTCTTCAGAATCCTCTTCGGGTAGTGAAATGCGAAAATAATTGCCAGTAGTTTAACATCATGAGGTGTTTTTATACGGTGAATGGGAGAGGAAAAAAGACCCAGAATATTTAAGACTGGTTTAAAATTAAGGTCATAGATAATACTACAAGTTTTAGACTTACTTAAAAGAGCAAGCTAATAGCCCACTGGGTGAGATCAGATAACTTGTGGTTTAAAATTTAAAGTAACCAGTGGCCATTTTAACTTCCATTTCTCTTGGAGGAGTTAATTTTTAATTGTTCATAAATGTAAAAGGCATCTAGATTGATGAAGGAAATTTTGGGATGATTGCAGTCTTTCAGTGATAAACTTTTCCTTTGTTTTTGTTTATGGCCTGACATTAAAACAGGAAACATAAAAGCAAGGTCACAATCTTAAATCTGTCCAAAGACTTGAATTTTCTCTATTTCTTTTTGATTCCAATGCTGTAATCTCTAGTATTTGTGAACACATCCAAAAGATGAAGAAAACAAAGATTGATAAAGCATTAAAAAAATTGCAGTTATAAATGTACAGGTTGTGTGACTGAGCCGTCTCTGAAAAATACCCATGGATTTTGTCTCTGGAATATTTTCTCATCGTTTCACCACACAATCTTTGGCCAGCAAATACTTAAAAATCAAAACATTGATGTCATCTTCCTTTTTTTTTTTTAAAGGTAACTTACAAGATTAAAATTAATTTGGTTGCTGGTGGTTCAGAACAAATACATACAGCACCAGGTAAGAAGTAGCAAATTGTTACTTTGACCTGAAAATTAGCTTCTTGGGTTTCTGTTTTGCTTTTTGATGATTTATATTTCAAGTAGCAGTGATTATGATTTTTAAAAAGCAATTATATCAAATAATTTTTAAGAGCTTATCAACCTTTTCTCAACGAAAAGATTAAAAGTATATGTACATATATCTACTATAATGTATCCTTGAATAGTTTAAAATTTTGAAAGACTTAAGCCTTTGTTTAGTTTTGAGAATAGGAAAGCACATTTGTATTTTGGGAAAAATCGTGTACTAAAGGTGTTTTTTCCCTTTTATCACCACAGTATACCATGAGAATGATTTTAAATTCTAAATATTCAAAGAAATAAATTTGTTGGAGATAGGAAAGAACATTTTAAGTTGATCATGCATTGTAATATATTTTTCATGTAAGTAGAAGGTTTTAAAGTATGTATTTCTACTTGGTATTTATTGCTTCACCAGTAAGTTGTTTAGAATATTGTTTGTTTTCCCTGAAAGGTTTATCATTTTGAAGACAGACTTTGGAGTGTTACCCTTAAGGATAAAGAAAGTGTTTGGGGAAGACCGTTTTATATTGCAAGTAAGTAAATGATTTTTTACTTAGCATTAGAAATTAAGTGGTTAGCAACATACGCGCAGAAAAATAACCACTAAAGTTAGTCGGTGAAACAAACTGTACTGTTTTTAATAAAAGATAAAAAATTATGTCAGAACACTTGTATTATTGTTAAAATTGTCAGTGCAATTTATATAAATGCAACAGTATGACATTTAGTATTTTTCAGTAAAATAGTGCTTTAAAATAATGGTTTAAATCTGTAATAAACATCAAGATTATTGTCTTTCCAGTCTGAAAGGTATATTCGTTAGCTTTTTTCTTTTTTATGATACAGAACACATTTTAGGAATGGTCTAAATGCACTTGCTGATCTTAGGATTTTTAAATGAACCACATTTTAAAAACTGCATATTCATATCTTGGTTTTATTAACTATATTTAAAATACTTGTTTTACTCATTTTTATTAGCTTATTTATAAATCAGTACAAAACCAAGTTGTTTTGCAGTATCTGGAATATTATATTTAAGAGATTTCTAATTTATAACTTAGTAATTGCTTCTAAAGGTAGAAATAATTTTCAAGTACAGTAGATATTGAGGTTTAGCATACTATGCGCTCAATACATTACCATCTTAAAACTAGATTCATGAATGAAGAAAATATGTCTACTGATATTTTTAAGGAAATATAATGTTAAAATCGAATCTGGAAATTAATGTCAAGTTGTTACTAGTAAGTGATTGACCAGAGGAAGTATAAATTGTAATAAGTAGGTTGGAAAATTTTAAGACTAGCCAAATGACCAGTAACTTTTAGGGAAGTTAACGTCTGAAATTAAGTGTGGAAAGTACCAACATTTATTGATTGACATTAGCTTATTCCATTGGTTCAAATAGGTGATAAGAATATTTTTATTGCCTTTCTTTAACTTTTCCTTTTTAATACTTTGTGCAGTTTGGGCAAGTCTGTACTTATTGTGTGCAAAAGAAAATTCGGTGTTACATTTTAGCTATAGAATAGGGTCTACCAAAAAAGTCAAAACATCTCCCATTTCCAAACTTCTTTAATACTGGTGCCAAGATAAGGTTGTTCTCTGCGTAGCTGACAGGGAATTAAATTGGCATTCATGTGTTGGCACTCTTGAGAAAAATTTAGTTTCTTTTTAATGGGAGGCATAATATGTTTAAATATACTATATTTATAATGGCCTATCAGAAGGATGATTTTATCCATTAACAAAATGTTACATAAAGGTTAGAAGTTCTAAATGAGAGTTTTAATCTTTTTTTCCTAGTATCAAATTTTAAAAATGTTTCAAATGATACAGTAACTTGTAAATTAATTCCTGTCTAGTGGAATACAGGTTTTATACTAACAAGACAAAGGATTATAACAAATCATTTTAGGAAGATTTGCATGTACTTGGATCTTTACCATAGTGCTTACATTCACTGTTTTGTTATTTATTGCTTGATCCAGTCTTACATAGTAGACAAAAATGATTGCCATATGAAGGCAAATGTGAATGTAGACACTGTCATAGAGATTAAAATTATATTACTTGTAAGATACAGTAGAGAAGTAGAGACTGTTGTATGGCTTTAAAATTACTTTAGTTCATGAAAAGTTTACTAGTGTTTCTGCTTAAGAACTAAAGTGATACGGGGCTGGGGTTTAGCTCAGCGGCGTAAGTGCCTGCCTTGAAAGCAGGCAGTCGCGAGTTTGATCCCTGGTACCCATACAAACAAACAAACAAAAAAGACCAGAAAAAAAAAAAAGAACTAAGGTGATAGGTACTTTGTTGCATTTTGAACTATTTGAGTCCTGAATGTCTGATCAAATGATTATTAGGTGGGATTGAATTTAATAATTCCGTAACTGTTTAAAAAGTTCATTTGCGGTCCCACAAGACTTAAAGCTATACTGTAGGTGGTCACGAGGTTTTTTGAATAATGACATGACATGTAGAGTCTAGGTTATGTGAAATAGGTAATTTTCAATACAATGTTTTAAGTTTAGTGTACTAGTTCATTTCTTTTTTCTTTTCTTTTTTTTTTTTTTTTTTTGTTTGGTGTTTTGAGGGGTCTTGCTGTTTTGAGCCCACTGGCTTCAAGAGCTCAGGCTGGCTTTGAGCTTGGGGCAATCCTCCTGCCTCAGCATCCTTCCAATGGCTGGGATTATGGATATGCCTCACCATGTATTGTTCAGTTTCTTGACTGTCCAAAAATTTAGTGATCAGAAGATAGCTTTTAATGTAAACGGGTCCTACAGTATTGACATTTTATTCTATACACGTTCATCTTTTAGTTTGCATTAATGCTTTGGGATTTAGCTCTTAAATTGTTGGACATAACCTGGGCATGGAGGCGCATGCCTGTAATCCCAGCATTCAGGAGGCTGAGGCAGGATAATTGCTGCAAATTTGAGTGTAGCCTGGGATACATAGTGAGTTTTCAGGCCAGCCTAAACTACATAGTGAGACCCTGTCTCAAAACAAAACAAAACAAACAAAAAAGGTTGGATACAAATAATGGTAAGTATTAAGTTATACAGACTTTGTAAATTTAAATTGCAAATCATGGTACTTTTGAGGTGGAACTACTGGACTAGTATAAGACTTGAGGCAATAGTTACTTGACTTTGTTACTGAATTTTATATATTCCAAAATGTTAATATATAGGGTAAGTACCTATGAAAAAGTAATTGGGTATGAGATTGTGTAAACAATGAAGATTTAGAATAGTGCAATAAAAGCAATGACATCTACAGTGGGGTATGTTTTTATATAATATTTGCAGGTTGCCATGATTATAAACAAGGAGATTTGTGGTTTGCTTGCCTGATACAATCTATTTAATTCCTTTTAAAACATTTCTATGCTTCAGAAAAAAATATCCTCATTTTACCAGCTACTGGCCTCTTCCAGATGGAGTGTGAACTTTTTTGTTTCTTTGAGAGACAGTGTTACTATGTAGTTGAGGGTGGCCTACAACTCACTGTAGCATAGGCTGGCCTACAACTGTTGAGGATCCTCCTGCCTCAGCTTCTGGGATTACAGGCAGGGGCCACCATGCCTAGCTAAATGTAAACTTTTATTTTCAAATGGCCTATTTCTGAATGTGCATAGTGTGTGCAATTCAAGGTAGAATGTACTTTGAATCTCATGTCATCAATACAGTATGTGCTCATGTAACATTTAGCATTAAAATCAGAAATTGTTGACATGCTGTAATATACTTAGTGGGGTGTGTATTTCAGAAAATCTCCTTTACACTTCGAAACTTGTTTACTTGAAACTGAATATTCCTAAATAGGCCATTAAATCTTTAGTATGTACTGTGCAGTAGTCATAACTCTAGTTTAGATTTTTACACTAGATTTTTTTCTAACTTCAATAGTTTAAAAGCACAGTTTTTTTAGAAATGCTCTGACTTTGTCATGACATATCCACCCCATTTTTGTGCAAGGTTTCTTTTACAGTGGTCTCAAACTTTATTTTTTTCTTCAATACAGGGGATCAAGCCTAGGGCCTTTGCACTGAACTTTGTCCTCTACTTTTTTTTATTACTTTTTAGGAAGAGTTTTGCTAAGATGCTAAATTGTCCAGACTGGAATTTGTAACCTTCCTACCTCAGCCTCCCAGAGTGGGATGGGCAGCCACACCTGGTTTTAATTTAAAATTTTTTAAGAGAAGAAAGGTTTATTTAGCTCACATTTTGAAGAGGTTTCAAGTCCATAATTGGCTAGCAGCATGAGAGAGGGCAACAGTTTATGGCAGTGGAAAACGGCAAAGGCTGTAACAAGCAGGGAGGGAGGGAAAGAGAGAGAGAGAACTAAATTTTAAAAGTTCTTAAATAAAAAATGAAGTGACTAAAGCTGTCGTTGCCTTTTATTGTTAAAGGGCAAGCAACCAAAATGGTTGTTTACATGTTACCTGTAATTTTCTTATTAAATCACAAGCCTTAATATTGTAAAATACTTACAATGTGTAGAAACTTAAGTAGAGTTACTTAATTTTTTTCATATTCTTTTTAGGCTAAATTCTGCTCTCATTCTGTTTCAAAATCTGGCCAAACTTGGTCAGTTTGGAAAAGGAGAGGATATGGTAGATTATATTGCTATCAGAAGTATTTTTTGGTAATTGCAATGTAAGATCCAAGTCTTTTCTGCTTGGAGTCGTGAGAACTGGTACTAGCAGGTGACTCACAAGCAAAGCAGGCCAGTGCATCCGGGCTCTGGGACATGGACATGCTCCTTTGTCGCCGGTAGCCAGCGTGGCTGGGAGAGCAGGGGACTGTTGGCCAGACGCTTGTGCCTGTTATCAGCTTTGCTTCCCTTCTCTTACGCATTAAGTCAGGTCATTTTACTTGCTTAGGTTAAGCCTTGTCTGTTTACAAAATGGTTTCTTCCGGTAAGGTCAGATTAAATTTGAAAGTTAAAAAATGTGTTCTTTTAAGTTGCTTTATTAACTGGGAAGATACTTTAGTACCTATTCTTCTGTTAATTTTAAAGTAGATCTTTTGTTCCTTGGTGATGATTTGTCAAAATGGCTGAATGGATTTAGCTTTAGGGAAATAAAATAGGGACTTGTTCTTTAATTTGAAAGCTGGTTTTGACAAAGTGTTTTTTATAGCTTAACTTCAGATGTGATTTTGTTTTTGCCTTCTGAGATCTCTTTGGTAGTTTTACATTTTTCCCCCGAACCTATAGTCTTGCCAGTGCTAGGCAAGCACTCTACCATGGAGCTACATCCATCCCTAACCTTCTCGCAACATGTTATTGTGATTGTTGTAACTGTACTTACAGAGGTGACTGAAAAAAGTGCATGTATTCAGGAGATGTTTAAAATATGAAAGATAATTTCTCAGATTTAGTAGCCAGGTATAGAGTCTAGTGTGAAATATAAACGATTTTTTTTGCTAAATACACATTTTAGAGAGCATTTATACTACCTTAGTTGAATAAATCAGTACAATTAATAGTTGGTTTTTTTGGTATCGGAGATCTAACTCATGACCTTGCCAGGCAGGTGCTTGTGCCGCTGAGCTAATCCAGTGATACTCCGTGGTTCTGTTGAAGTACTTTTCCTTAGCACTGATGATACGATTACATATGTTACATTTACTACTGTGCATGATTATGTGAGGAAATATGGTAATGCTAAAAGAGTGACCTTGCAGGGGAGAATGAAACCTTTTCTTTTAGAAGAGTTCAGACTGGATTAGATGAAAATCAGAGATGAAATAAAATTCTATACTATTCAAGTGATGCTGAGTTTTTTACAACTGTAGCTTCACTTCACTTCTACCCAGGGTCCCCAAATAGTTACGTGCTACGTGCTTACTCCATTGGAATTCTTAGGGGCTGAGGCAGGTGTGTAATTTTAAGAGTTACTTATTCTAGATATATAAGCCTTCCATTCTGCCAAATTTTAAGATCCTTTTAGAGCTTTTTTGGCCTTTCTTTTGGACCATATTGTTCATAAATGTATGTCTCTCTTGATCTGTTGGTGAGTTTGAAATTACTTACAAGATGTTGAAATTTTGTTATAAATAATGGTGGTTATGGTGCTGGGGATTTAGCTCAGTGGCATAAGCGTCTGCCTTGCAAGTGTGTGGTTGTGAGTTTGATCCCCAGTACTGATAAAAAAGGAAAAAGACCAAAAAAAAAGGTGGTTAGTCTGTTTTTTGTTATTTGTTATGTATAAAATTATATTTTTGCCTTATACAGAAATGTGAATCCTCAGACTGATGATCTGAAGGGCCTGTACAGTATAGCAGACCTTGGAAACAGTAAGTATTATCCAGTTTCCATGTTTTTGTAAATGTGACTGTGAAAAGTTTGAGTAATGGAGTTGGAATTGAAAAACTGGAGAGTAGGGAAGCTTAGAACAGCATAGGGACATCAATCAGCCTGCTTAGGTATGCGTGACATTCAGTAATCACAGTTTGCTTATTAATTTACCTAGCCTACTTTTGTTTTCTTTAACTGAGGCAAATGAAAGTGTGAAACAAACCCACATTGGGGCATTTTTTTTAACACTTCTTAGATCTGGATTCTAGAAATTCCCCCTTGTTTTCACAAGTAAACTTTTTGCAGCACACCTGTATTCTTTTTTTTTTTTTTGTCTTTTTCGGTTTTTATCGGTACCAGGGATCGAACTCACGACTGCCTGCTTGCAAGACAGGCGCTGAGCTAAATCCCCAGCCCCATACCTGTATTCTTTAATATAGATGCTTTGTGTTTGCCTTGCCACCAGTTTGAAGAGTTGAGAGTAGTTGTAGCAAATAGCCATGAAGCCTAAAAAATTTATCTGTTTTCTCCTGAGCAAAATTTGCTGACCTTTTGTTCTAGATCTACTCTGATTTATTAGCTATACCATACCTACATAAAAATCAGAAGCTGTTGGGTTCTCTTTTGGTGATAAAACATCTTTTTATGATTGCTAATGTCAGGATTACCTCTAATAATTTTTTTTTTTTTGTCTTTTTTTCTTCTTATTGGTACCGGGGATTGAACTCACGACTGCCTGCTTGCAAGGCAGGCGCTTATGCCCCATACCTCTAATAATTTAAGTAATTCAGAACTTTCTTATTCTTGGAGGCAACAAAAGGGTCCTTAGCCTGGTTGACACTGATGTTATGATTTGATATTAGAAGTGTTAACTGCCATACTGTGTAATAGCTTCCCTAATACCAAACCTGAGAAAGGATGAGAAGGTTGTTTATAAGTGAATCTACTTGAGTTCTCTAAAGGATTTCATTATTGACAGAACTTTTTTACTTACTAGGTGTTTTATCAGAATGATTCTTCTTTGAAACATTTGAGAACCTACATTCTAGGTGATTGTTTTTTTCTGCTTTAACTTCCATAGTATAAATGGCTCTAGGGCCTACAGTAGAATTTCGTTTGCTTCTTGATGAGAGTGGATGAGTAGAGCTGAAACCTCCCTAAAGAAGTAAAGTAATAGTCTCATGTCTGAGTATATTTAAAAGAGATTAGTTGCCTAGCACATAGTAGCTGCTCACAAAATATTTCGTGACTTACTATAGCTTCTATAACATTGCTTAGCAGCTAGTTTTTTGGGTCTAATAAAAAGTAAAGATGCAAGTTTTAATGTGTTAAATATCAATATTTTGTGTGAAGGTCAAAATTGTTCTCAATAAAAATTACATGTGACAAGATCTTGCTATCTTTTTTTTTTTTTTTCTACTCCCTTTCTAGAAAATCTGTCTATGTAGTCAAGTTTGAAACTAATAAGGGCAATGGAGAAGATTATATTGAATTGTAAACAGTAGAAAATACAATTCCTTATGTTGGTCAACTATTTTCAGTCATGAATAATTGGCTGGTCTTTTTCTCAAATAATTTTGTAGTTTTTATGCTTATCTTACTTAAGACTCAGATCTGTTAACATACTTTATTGAGGATTCACACTACTTTTTAAAGACAGTTACGTTAGTTTACTTTTCAGTAATATGTTACACAAATGTTTTTGAGATTTAAAGATAGTATTCAAAAGAAACATTGAAATCAAGACATAATCACCAAGAATCTTAGTTACATGATGGGAAGGATAAATTTTCATTGTACAGTGTAATTTTCAATCTGTCCTGTTGATTTTGAAATAAGTGTTTAAGTTTTAAAATAATACAAGTTACATTAATGCTAGGTTTCCTATAGCCAGTCATTTAAAAATTTAAGAATTCTTTGTTTCGCTGTGCTCCTCTCTGCCCCTTACTTTTTTTTCTTGGCTATGAAAAATGAGTTTGCTGGGGATTTAGCTCAGCGGCATAAGCACCTGCCTTGCAAGCAGGCAGTTGTGAGTTCGATCCCTGGTACCGATAAAAATGAAAAAAAGACCAAAAAAGAAAAATGAGTTTGCTGAGAAGAGGAAAAGATGATTTTAGTGGAGCACTGCTTAGACCAGGCTGGATGATGAAGCATTTGCCTGTGTTTCATTTTATAATGCATTTTATAATGTTCTAGTCTCTGGGAACAATTCTACTGAAGTAGAATTTGAAGAGAAGACTCCCATGGTTAACTTTATGTTCTTAATTTATGGATGTATACAGTGTTTAGAGATTAGAGTAGGTAGCTGTTACTTACTACCTTGTTGCCATCAAGCGTTTACTTTTGCTATGGAACTGTTCTGTCCACAGTCGTATATTATTTATAAAGAAAGTGAAAACTACTGTCAAAGTGGGAAAATTCTAACCAGGTCTTGAGCCTCATGTGAAACTTTAGATCTGTTTGGTTTTCTGAATTGTAGATCGAAGGATCATCTGTTGAGTATGTCTTCAGGGTCACAAGGAGAAGGAAATAAAATAAGACTTTGATATCTAGGAACTACCCAATGGTGTCTTTTTGTTTTTCAGTTTTTTTGGTAGGAAGGTTTTATTTTAAGGCAATACTGAATTTTTAAAAATGGAAGTTTTTATTAAATAACTGATCCCATGACTCCATGTGTTCTTCAAAGACAGCCTTGAAGTATAAATTACTTTGATTCAGTAAGGTTAACATGAAATTCCTAGGCATTTTGGTTATGGCATTGGAAGTCTGGTCAGCATTTGTTGAGCTCTTCCTATGTACCTGGTAATGTAAGCATCATGAATGCACTCATTTAATGTTCTCTGCTGCCACAAGAGGTAGGTACTACAATTCCGTTTCACAGGTGAAGAGCTGTGGATGTTGTCAGCAAGAACATGTCCAGGCTCACAGAATTCATTTCTTTCTTTCTTTCTTTCTCTCTTTCTTTCTAACAAAACTGCTTATTTGCAAATTTAGTATTGATAAGAAGTTGGAACTCTATGGATGCAAATGGATTACTCATAAATCCCTCATTTGTCCTGACTGAACACTTTTGTGTGTTAGTAAAATTTTCATTTTGGTTTTGGATTGGCCTTGGAGAAGAAGTCCAGGTTGATTATGACTTTCTAATGTCATAAGAGTCTGCTTTTTCTTGTGGCATTATTTTTTTCACCTTTTTAAAAAAATACTTGACAACATGACACGCTGTTTTCTAATTTCTGTTGTCACACATGCCAGTGCAATTTTTGAATAATTTTGGAATGATTCTAATATTAATAGGAGTTTTCTTAAAATAATGATTTTAGAAGGAAATTTCATATAATGGTCTATGTCAGTGGTGGTGAACCTTCAGGGGTTTCAGTCTTCCCAGCCCGTTGTGGCAGATGTTCCCTAGGTTTGTCACCACTGTTGTAGGTAAAAGTTCATCTTCCATAGAAGAAGAATATAAAACACTGATGTATCATTTCATATACCAGATTCTACCTTGGTTAGCTACCAAACTGACTAACGTGGTTACTAGTGCATTTCTAGTATCATCAAAATTATTTATATCACCAACTACCTTTAAAGGGTGAATCCTATATTGTAACAATAGAGATTTGAGAATTTGGATTATAATTGGAAGTTTTTTCTTAAAATACCGTAATTTCTTTTAAGAAAGTAAGAAGGCAAAATGGAAGATATTTTACTAATACAGGAAATCAGTGAGTTATTTAATTCTCATATTAAGACTTTGGAGAAATCTGCAAAATCTCTTAAAGGGAAATAACTTATTTTTGATGTTTAATAGTGATAATTGTGACACTCCTTTTCAGTTAGTGCTGTTTAATAGGGGTGCAGCCATATCTTTGAGTAGCTGAATAGTTCATTGAGTACATTTTTGTGTTGTATGTACTAGACAATATGTCTTATAGTCAAGGAGATAACATAAGAGCTAAAGTACCTTATATTTACATTCATCTTCAGGTTAGTCACTTTGACTGTATCTCCACAAATTGAGTTTGAGAGTTGCAGAATTTATATACAGACAGACCACGGTTAATAGTTGTTTGCAGTTATATGTTGGATCATGTTGAATCCAGATTGTTTACTTAGTGGTAAAATCACCTGGCTTCAAACTTTGCCCTTTAGAGTAGATTATTGAAAAAGGTTTATTTTTTTTGAGGAATATGTGAAATTTGGGCATTGAGATTATTTTAGTTGTATGAAATATGAAAAGCGATAGCATTTTATAGTAAATACCAAATAAGCTAGGCAGATACTCTACATTTTTCATAATTTTTTTCCTGGCAGGTTTCACATTTTCTGCAGTTCTCAGATAATATAACTAGAGGTGATACCATCTATACTATTTAGGTCCTTTGTGTAATAATTAACATGTTAGAATGGAAAAGTATGCAATGATCCAGTGCTTTTTAAAAAATCCCTTAAGATTCTTTTCCATAATTAGTTTTCCTTGAGCTTGGAAACTTTCATGTATTGAGATTTACAATCTGCAGTTTTTCTTTTACTAATCTTTCTAGGAATTTTTAAGTTTTGTTTTTGCTTTGAATATATGTAATATAAAGATGCTAGTGTTAAATATTAAAAATTTGACTCTTCACTGCTACTTTTATGGATACAAATGTATCTGTAATAAGAGTGTAACTAGTCTACAGTCTTGGCTCTTTGAGAAGTTATAAATGTGTTTGCATTACAAACAACTTGAATATAGTTGGATAGTCCAAAGATGTTACTGGATGAAAGTTTGGTGTATGGTAGGATATCCTCAAGGTGGGTGGATGTTTTCTGTTTGAAGGTGTAAGATAATTGGCATTCCAACAGCATTTTTTTTCTTCTAATTTTTTTTATCAAGCACCCAGTCAGCTTGAAGAGTCTCAAAAGGACCCTACCTACCACTGAGAAATCAAGATGGCAGTCCTCTATGGGGAATTCAGGAAAATGGATTAATGCAAGAGTGCTGAGATAAAATACCACCAAGACAGGGTTCTTTTAACATGGATTCAGTGAAATGAATGAAACCTATCTTAACCAAGAAATGGACAGTGGACTTGACTTTCTAAAGACTTTCGTGTTACATTTAAACTAGCTCATTTTTCATATGTGGAGAAGAAAGGTGGCGTGTTAACACAGATGATAAGTGTGTATGCCTGAAATTTTTTCTTTATGCATTTTGATTTGCTTGAATATGACGTCATGGAATGTTAACTTGAATAAAATTTCTACCGTTTAAAAATTTCTCAGTTTGAGCTTTTTTTTTTTTTTTTTCAAGTGGACGTTACATTAACTGTTCAGTTATCGCCTTAATAACACTTTAATTCTTACAGTTGCCCAGCAATATACTCAATAAAACTGGTAACAGAAATGATATACTGGAATGTGTTTTACTTGGTTGATAAAGATTTGTCTTTTCTCACAAAAATGGGAATTTGTCTGTGCTTTGTGGAATGGTTATTAGGTTAAAATGTGATCTTTGTTCAGGTTTGTTTTGAATGAATTTCCTTAATTTTTTCTTTGTGCTGTCTTACACCTTGCAAAACAATTTAATCAGTGGGTAATAATGGGAACTGTTAATCTGCCCTGAGAGTTAAAGATTTTTAGTGCAGTATACTTTGTTGCCTTTAAATTCAGGATAATACAGTATTTCTGTCTGAATTATTTTGAGTTGATGGAAATGATTTCCTTTACCTATGCTTTTTAATGTCATAAATATCTTGCAATGGAATATTCATTTGAATATTGCGACTTAGGTATTTTTTCTTTATGCTATAGGAAAGAATGTTGGAATTATAGGGAAATGTCTTTAGGGTATACACAAACTAGCTTAAATCTTTGGTGGGAATGATTGGTATAATATATTGTATTTACATTTGAAATAGGTTTTTATCTTACATTTTTTTACTGGGGGTTTAGAATAATTGAATCACATCATGCCATGGATTACTACCTATGTTTGAATTTTAATTGCTAGACTTTTATTCCTTTCTAATCAACTAGTACTAGTTTCAGTAGCTATATTACAAATGGTAGGCGTTTGATAGACTAGAACATTGGTTACATTTTCCAGTTTTATAGAGAATGAAGAATAGTTCAACTTAATTTGTTCTACTTTGCTAGAAATAATCATCTGCGTGATAAATGTCAATGCAGTGCCATAGTGTACACATCTATGGTCAGTACATGGTCAGTTTGTTTTGTGGTTGGTTGATCTTCATATTAATTTAAAAAAAATATGGGTTTTGATTTGATATAAAAGTTACGGAATATAAAGTTTCAATTATGTTTTATATTTACTTGGTTCAACATCTTTGTTTTTTGTTGGTTGTAAATCTATAACGGATTGCCTTAGTGTGGGAATGACACATTTCTGATTATAATGCTGAGCTGAATAAGAAAAATTGATTGGGATTTTAGGGCATGCGAATGAATGTTTGTTCCTCTGCATGGGTGTTTGATGAGGACTTTTGAGTAATTGTTTTTGGTATTAGTAATAATTTTGGTTGTGTACTTTTGAGGTTTTTGATCTTCAGAAGAATTTTCCCTGTGACCGTATTTTGATCATGTGCCATTAGATATGCTTTGTGGCTAATAATGTGTTGTTGAAATGGGTAGACAGAGTTTGAGTTGAAACATGAAGGAAAAGGGTTGGGATATGTATTCTGATGGCTTTGGAGGTGGTGTTTCTTGGGTTTCTGATTTAAAGCTTATTATGGTTGTACTATATGCTTGAGTTTGAAGAGCTTTATTTTGCCTAAATCAGTATGATTATGAGATCCTTGGTGGTTTGGGTTTCCTAGATTATATAATGGGTTGAAGAATTTTGTAAAGCGAAAAGAAACACTGAGTTTCTTGAAAAAAAAAATGGGTTGTGTTAACTTTTGCCCTGATGCAACTGGACACTAGGGAGGCGCTCTTGAGTTGTCAGAGTTACCCCTTCCTTCCAGTTGGAATGGAGAATTTCTCCTTACATTTTGTCTTTAAATGGTTTTTAGATAACATAAAGAAAGCAGACCTTGAATTTAATTTATGAATGGGTTTTGCTTTTATTTAGAAGCTTTTTTGCCCTGGGGGGGCTAATTTTTTCAAAGATTAATCCTTAATCTGGGTTTTAGATTTTCTAAGAATTATCCCTATTTCAAAATGGCTTGATAAAACACCACTTCCTGTCCAGGGAGGAAGTTATTTTAGCTCAAGGACTGAAATATTTAGCAGATCTTTAGACAAAAGGAACAAATTACATTTCTCTCTGGCTTAAAAAGGGTGCTTGAGCCAGAGGGGGTTAAGAAGCCCTTCCCCCTCCCTCTGATGGGGTGGTCTGGAGGGGCAGGGAGGTGTGGGAGTGGGGGTCTTTAGGCTCCCTGGGATGTAGGATCTTTCTTTTTCTTTTTTTTTTTTTTGGTGGAGATGAAGGGGTGGGTCTATGGTACATCACCTGAGTTGTGGGGTAAATGTAGAGAGTGTCAATCAAAGGCAGAGCTCTCAGAGCTGGGAAGGAGGCTCTAGATGGCGGCTGTGCCTTAGAGAGAGCGCGCTCTGCTCCCTGCCTTCCCTCACTTACGCAACTTTCCCTAACTTTTGGGCAGCCTCAGGGGGCCCCCGCAGCCCCCTGCCTCTCCTAGTGACTTGCTGGGGTCGATTTGAACCTTTTTAAGGGAGAAAAGCAGCCTTTGGAAGCTTTCTTTTCGTGCCTTGTTGGAGAGAAGCAGCCGTACTGAGAGCCCAGGTCGTTGTTTTTCCAGCTTAGAAGCCATGGCGCACCTCCATTTTTGTGCGCTCTCTTAATGAGGTTTTTTTCTTCTTCCGGACCCTTTTAAGTTTTAATTATTGCTTTATTTTTTGACCAGTTTACGTATTTGAGGATTATTTTATTTATTTTTCATTTTTTACCGGAGGATTTTGCCTTTATTTTTAATTATTTTCGATTTGATATTCTGCCACTAGCTAGGACTCTGGCTTTGGACATACTACATGGATCAGGTAAGTTCATGATCATTAGTGATAATTTTAAAGATTTATATGTTAAAGTTTGCTTTATTTTCTTTAAATGTGAGAAATTCCTGGATGACGCAATAAGATACAGATATTGTTATTTGTGTCCACTGTGCTACTTTGAGAAACTTTCCTTATTGATAGTGATGTTTCCAGTGTTTGGCTTATCCTGTTTTTTTTTTTTTTTTTTTTTTTTTTTTTCTTGGAAAAATAGAAATAGTGTTTTCGTGCTTTCCATTGTTGAATTATATTAATATCCTTAACATCGTCAGGACTTTGTTCTTGATACTGAAAACCATCCTCAGAAGCCGGGACCTTACCTTTCTTTCAACTTTTGACAGTAAATACCTGGGCACAGGACTTCAAAGCAAACACAGATTCCCCCTCCCCCTTAATATTTAAGAATTAAAAGATGATGAGAAATAAGGACAAAAGCCAAGAGGAGGACAGTTCGCTACACAGCAATGTATCGAGGTATGAGCTATCAACTTTCTTCCTTTTTGTGTTTTTTTGGGGGGAACCTCAACTTACAATTGTTTACCTTGACAGACACAGATTGCTGTCTGTGATATTGTATTTTTCTAATTTGAGTTCGTTTTTTTTTTAAAGCATGACCTTGAGATTGCTAATATGCCACACCCTAATTTTTTGGTAGCAATTTATGAAAGTTGAGTTGTGCCTTAAGGCCTCTTACAGCAGTCCGAAGGTAAGGTACCTTTATTCACAGGGGCCTTTCCTAGTAACTGTAGTTCTGTGTTAGTAAATTTCAGGTTTTAGGGTTTTGTGCTGCAGAAAAATGACCTTGTCGGTTTAGCCATTGCTGCATTGCACCATTTTACATACAAGGCAAATTTTTTCTTTGAAGAATCTCAAGACATCCAAACTTGTAAGTGAGGGCCATAGAGAAGCCTTGTAGTAGTAAATTATAGTAAATAGACATTTGAGAAAGTTATATGAATGAAAAAATGTACATTTAAAAGTGAAATTACAGAAAACACCCTTTGACTGATGCCTCTCAATTTATATTTTTATTGACTCTATTTCTTTTGATATAGTTGACATTTTAGGAAATTTTGATGATTTGTTAAAACCTTTACTTGGTTACCGTGCCAGAATTTATGAAATCAAACCTGTAATCACAGAGATCCTGGAATGCTGTTAATACACTTTTGCTTTGTATGTTTTTTACTGTGATTGTATTTGTAATTTGTATGTTTACATTTAAACATTTTAAGGTTTGTATTTGTATGCTTATATGGAGATAGTGCTTTGTGAATGACAGATGTAGTATTTTACCTTCACATTTTAGTTGTTGTTGCTTTAAATTTATTGATTTATTTCGACAGAGTCCCCCGGAAAGCTTTATCTTCTGAAGCTTATAAATGTACTTTGTTCAAGTCATGATTTGTTTCACATTCCTTGAAGTAGCTTATTAGTGACTTAAGTAATAAAGCCTCTAAGATGTTTTTAATGTATGATTTCTGTATCTTAATTTTAAAAGTACATAAATGCATTTCTTGGTGTGTTCTTGTTATAAATCTTAAATTAATAAGCATGTGATTGGTTATGTGTTTTTTCTTCAGTTTTGAATTTTTAATTTTCCATGGAAAAAATTGTTAGGTTATGGAATTTGGAAGCTTTGAATATAGTTTTACAAATGTTTAATTTTAACAAAGTATTTTGAGCCTTGCTTTTAAAAATACACTTGTAAGTTCTCTTGCAAATTGAGTTGTCAAACAATTTGGATGTTTTCTGAATGAATTGCCCAAGTAATTACTAGGTTATGTATAGGATACAAAACTTCCTGCTAATGCTGAACTTCATTTTTCTGGAAAATAACAATTTTAAGAAATAGAAAGCCCCAGATATATTTGACATTATTAAAGACTTAATATTAAAATCATTACTTCTTTGAGTTTATGATTTGCATAGTCTCACATGGGGTTTGGCTTTCTATGCGAGGTTTGTGGTTGACTTCATTTTTCATGCTTTCTAACTTAATAGAGCAGTGCTATTTTTATAGTACTTTTTACTCTTTTGGAAAACTTGTAAGTTGTCATGCATTTGACTACTCACAATGGAGTACAGCAGAACAAGAAGCATGTTTTAATATCTTTTTGCCAGGTATACTTGATGAATGTGAGAAGTACTCCAGACTGCTGCATGATGGAGTTACTTTTAAATTACTTGTACTCTGAGTTGCATACATTATTAATACATATACATAATTGTGACATCACTTCCTTTTTAAGATTGTGGAGCCTAAAGGATGTTACACATGTTGTTTTCATGTAGTTGGTTGTTACTTCTTGCGAGCTGAAATTGAGGACTGATACTATGTCTGGAGCTTGGTTTCTGTGTCATCAGTTTTTCTGTAAGGACCTCAGTGTTAATGGCAGTGTTTAGGGGATACTACCGCAAATCACCTTGCGGCCTGAGCCCGGGAAAGGAGTTTGTGGGTCAGGTAAACTTTGGTCTGAGAATTCCTTTAGGAAATAAAGTGATTGCGAGTTTAAGTAAAATGTTTTTGGAGCTAATGCAGTACTTAAAAATGGTTATGTAAGTTTGTACTGTCTTTGACATTAATGCTTAGGTCTAATATTCTTTGCATATCACTTTTTAATACTAAAGTTTACTTTCAAAGGATATTTTAAAAGTTGGATATTTCTGAATAAAACATTCTTAGAGATGGACATGTAGCCACACACCTCATCTCAGTTTGCAGCTTGAGCATAACTTCATGGCAACTGGGGGAAGCAAACGCATGGAACTTGGTGTACTGGAGTTCTCTGTGTTTGAGGACGCCACGCTTGCAGTTTAAACAGTTGATCAGATTTATCTCCAAATTGCCTTTGAGCTAAATTTGACAACCTAGGGGCAGGGAGGGTCCCTGGGCTTTTCTGAGCCTTTTTAGCGGATATTCTCAGAGGCTGGCTAGAAGTGGCTTAGTGGAGTGCTTGTGGATTGGGACGGGCAGCCTAAGTGGCAGCCATTTTATGACGCTGATAATAGTTTAAAAATCGGGAATTTTGAGGAGACCGAAAACAGACAAATCAAACCTGAAATCCAGAACATTTTTACTCTCCTTCGCCCCTTTTTCGCGCTGTGGGACAGAAATAAAGGGCAGCTCGATAATTAGCACAGGCAACAACTCTGGGAGCTCCTGACATCTTGGTGCAGGTCCAGCTCAGTCACAAAATGGCTGTTCCTTTGTGCCGCAGCGCTGACAGACATACTGCATTGCACTGTGTACTCGCCAAACAGCAGGAAGTTGCCGTGCGGAGTTCAAAGGCCGGCCGGCGCCGGCGCAGGCAGCTGATTGGCTGCGCGCGAGCCTGGTAACAGACGGGTCAACAGCGGCGCCTTCCGGCTGGGCCCGCCCCGTGACGTCAGCCGCCACGCCGCGGGGCGGGGAGAACGCCGTGACGTCGGGCCGCAGCGCGCGTTGGGCGCGTCGAGACTGGAAGGAGGATCTGGGGCTTTCCGGCGGGCGGTGTTTTTCTGGTTGCGTGGTTGGCAGCGCTGTGCCGTTCCTGCCGGGTCCACACCCTCGGGGTGATTTCCTTTGCTCATTCCTGGGCATAGTTTTCCTCTTTTAGTAGCAGTTCCTACTTTTAAGAGAGAAAAGGCCCGAATTGGAAATTTTCGAGTAGAAAACCTGTTAGTTTAAAACCAATTTTCGCTTTCCCTTCTCTCCTAACCCATTGGTTTTTTCTTTTTCCCAGTTCACTTCCTTGTTCTGTTGGAAGAGATTAGTGAGTAATTTTGTTACTGTAGACCAAAGTGATTTCAGTGCGAGGGGCGTTACTCTGTAATGACCGTCTCGGACGTTGACAACCCATGGCTCCTAGAGCAGGGCGAGCGTATTTGAATCTGGCTCCGTGCGCTTTTACGTGGTGCCTTACGTTTTTTCACTGGGCACTTGATGGAGAAACTCAGGTCAGTATGTATTTAGTGGCTTATGCGTAAGATTCTCGCAGTGGTGTACAGAAAGGGTTCACGTGGGATAAAGTAGAAAAGAGCCATCTTCAGTTCAATTAAAATTAAAAAGCTAATTAAAAAGTGCTAAAAAAGCACTAGGCGTCCATACCTATGCAGAATGCTGTCAGCAGACAGCTTTGAAGGTGAATGGCCCTCGCGGGATGCCGAGTGGCCCTTGGCTGAATCAGAATCTCAGCGTAGCCACCTGATCCCGCCCCCGTGTGCGGGTGCCCTGGGCCTCATCGCTGCGGAAACCCTGGCCAGGATTCTAGGTTTAAGAAATCGCAGTTTTTACCAACGATGCCAAATTGTGTCACAGATAACGTATTTCAGCCCAAAGGAAGACCTCTGTGTTAGTCACAAGTTTTTACCTGCTTGGTTCGAGTATATTAGCAATAATTCAAATTTATGTTTTAATTTAAAAGTTGGCTAGAATACCTTTAAAAGATACAAGGACTTTTTGAATGTAGGCAGAAAGCTTTCTTGGGCATACCGCAAATTTCCGAGCAAGTGTGAAAAATAGTGAAAGTAGGCACAAGAGTTGGGTTTCGTTGATTGTCACAGTCTAGGTTCATAAAATTCTTTGAAAGATTTCTACAAAGTAGCTGAAAAGCTAAAGTCTCAGTTTGTTACCGGCAAGATTTGCACCAAAGATTAATGATCTAAAAAACTATGCTTAAATGTATATTTTTTGTAAAGTGTTTTAACATCCATTAAGACAATATTAAAAGCTTGATGAGCATTAACCATGGTTTCTAACATTTTAAACTTATCTCAGGGTTTCTAATTCTTTCTGTGTATTGAAACTGAATTCTACTTCTGTTTACATTTTTACTACTTGCTGAATGCCCTTAAATTCCCAAATATGGGATGGAATTTAATAGTCGGCTTTGCTGTTAATGTTTAGAGGATACAAATTACCCTGTGGAAGACGTATTATCGCATAGGTTTCATGACGTCAAAATGTGTATCAGATTCAGCAATTTATTTTTGCACTTGTTTGCAATCCATGTAGAACCAATTAACAGTTAAAAACACTTTTTAAAGATCTGTTTGACTTTTTTTGAGCTTTGGAGAATAGCATGAAGCTACTGAGAGTTGATCTTAATCTTTTTGTATGCATATTGTTTAAAACTTGCAATTCGTAATTTTTATTTTGCTGTTCTGTGATTAGCCTCTTACAAAAATTAACTCAAAAGGAAGGGGATAAACAGTATTCATTAAGGAGTTTTATTAATTTGTAAAAGTTGTAGGAGTTACTGCTTGGCATATGGAAGCTTAGTTGTATTTTACTTGAAATTCACAGTTTTATAACTAGTTTATTGTTTCTCCCATAGAGAGATAAACTCCTGTTATCACCTGGGATTTCTACACATCATTTCCCCCCCAAAATTCGGTATAGTGAGCTTGTTTGGAACATGCAAATTGAGTGACTGCTTTTTAGGATACCTAGTAAATTATTTTTCTGGCCGCAAAGCATAATTAAGATCTTTTAGCTTTTTCCTAACAACCTTAGAACTCAGTTGGCTACCTGTTGGCTTCCTTGAAAGAGGTATTCAGCAAAGAAACTTTTTTTTTGGAGACAGTGTATCACTGTATAGTTCAGGCTTGCCTTGAACTCACTGTGTAGCCCAGTCTGACCTTGAACTCCCTTGATTCTCCTGCCTCTGCTTTTTGAGTGCTGGGATTACAGGTGTGTGTCACCACACCCCAGCCCCCAACTTTATTTCATATTAAAAAGTATTTCGGTTCTCTTCATTGGAGTTCTTGTATTGTAGGGGAAATACCGTGTATCTTTTGTGAATTTTTTTTTTTTTTTTTTTTTTTTTTTTTTTTTTTTTTTGTATGGGGAATCGAACTTACGACCTTGAGCTTGCCAGGCAGCCACTTAAGCTGCTGAGCTATAAGTCCCTGGCCCTATCTTTTGTGATCTTATAGGAGAGAAAGTTGCAGAAGATTCTTGGCAAAGGCAACATTGTAAGGGTAGTTGTCATGATGTTAATGTTTTGGAAGAGCCGTGTACCTAATAGATACCAGTTCACCTTTTATTTCAGTACCCAAAGATTTTGTTCTTGCTTGAGGTCAGTGAAATACTCTGTTTTGTTTGGAATTTTCTTATTTTTAAAAATGTAGAAAATATCATTTATGAAAATTAATACAGTACCTACGAAGTACCTAGCAGAAAGCTGGTTATATTGAAAGAACTCAGTAAATGTTAGCTATCAGTAATACTGTTTTATTTTTATTACTTCATGTTACTTTCCTATGCTGTCCTTCCTGCTCTTCCTGTCTCTTTTGTCTATCTCTGTTTCTGTCTCTTTTTTCTGTCTGTCTTTATTTCTCTTGCTCTGTCTTCTTTTTGAGACATGATTTGCCTTTTTAGCCCACACTGGCCCGGAGTTGGTGAGTCTTCTGCCTTAGCCTCCCGGGTGCTGGGATCCAGGCGTGCCCATCCCACCATCTCCTGCTTTCCTGTAGTGCCTCTTCAAGGCTGTGTCCAAGGGCTGTGGCTGTGTCTCAGGTCCGGAGCTGTCAGAGGCTGGTTTGGGGAGAAGTCTATGAGGATTTTCAGCATGTTTTCATGGGAGAACCAGCCTTTGTGAAAGCGTAGGAAGGATTCTCTCCGACTAGCCGCCTTGTGAGAGAGCTCTGGCAGTCACTGACCCACCCCGGTTGGCTACTGCACTGGTGGGTGTTTGCTTTGCTGCTCTGCTGCTGGATGGATATTTGCTGTCGCACAGTGCCCTACGCGCAGTTCTGTCGCAGCTGCAGTGTCAAGCTTTGTTTTTGGCTTCCTCTGTTTCCTCCGTTTTCTGTCTTTGCAGGCTTATGGATTAGTTTAGGTCAGTGTTTTGTTTATATTTCAGATGGTGGAGGGCTTTAAAAAATAGTAATATCCAGTTCTGTCCTGGGGATTTAATTTTTAAAATCTTGACATGTGTTTCAAATTTGCAGATATTTCCATATATTTGCACAGTTTCCATGTGTTCTCAATCTTAGGATGGAACATTTATTGGTTCATATTCTTTTTTAAATAATCCTTGGTCTTCCCATTGACTGTCCCATCTGTTTTATGCCCTTTGAGTATAAAAATAGAAGTGAGTGGCATTTTGAAAAGCGAGCTGTGAAAGTTTGACAGAAGAGAAGTATTTGCACTAAGTGTCAAACATACCAAATTCCAGGCAGGCAGTGTTTGCAGTGTGCTCCTACCTAGGACTTTGTCATTCAGGACTTGGGATTGCTTTGGTGTCTCCTTGAGCTGCCCTAATCTAATGATCACACTTCCTTAATTTGGTTCTCTACTGAGGTCCTTCACAAACTGCCAAAATACGAGATTCTGCTGGTTCCTGTGTGCTTCCATTGAGAATTCCCTGTTCCCACTGACTTCTGAGGCGACCTCAGTGGCCGAGGCTGCTGTACAGTGTCGTCCGAAGTGGTGCGTGGCCCCAGTGCTAGGTCCTGAACTGTCACCAGCATTTAACTAAACAGTAGCAGAGCTAACTTCAGGATGTCTCCCTTGTATTGATTATTTCTAAGGCCAATGGTGTCTTTAATTTTGGATGTTAGATCATGAGGGAAAATCTATGCTGTGAACATTCAGAAAAATAACAGTAGCTTTAGATTTGCTTAGTGCTGACTGTGTCAGGCATTGTTGTAAGGTTAAACGTGTATTTAACTTAAAAATGTGGGTGTCAGTGTAGCAGGAGCCTTAGTAATAGTTCAGGGTGGGAGACAGCCCCCCATATTTTCATTTTTCTTTCTTTGCACAGCTGTAGGTACTTCTCAGTCATGTTCAGCTGTTTTACATCTGTGTCATTCTTCTTGCTCAGTTGTGTGCTTACCAAAGATGAGAAAATACCTAATTTTGTACTTTAATTGTCAAGCCAGTAAAGGAAATGATTGCAGGAGATTATTAGGTGAAAACTTAAGTGGATGCTTGGGATGACTCAGTAGTGGGCAGCACTGTGCCAAGTCCTTTAGTGGGTTAATTTGTGCAATCTCTGCACTTTATGAGGTGGTGTGGTATCACCCCTGTGTCATAGATGAGAAGAACGAAGCACGAGTGGGGTAAGTGGTAGACTGCCACTCAGAGCCTGGCAGTTTGGCTCCAGGATTGCTCAAGCATCTTGTGAACAGTTACTGTCATATTTGTTGGGTAAGAGGAAACTGTGTAGGAGATTGAAAATAGTGAAAATCTTGAATCATTTCTGTGCCATACTCTTGCTTCTTTTAAGATGAAAAACAAACTCATAAGCATGGTACATGGTGGGTATGATTGATGCCAGAAACATAACACTGCTCAAACAGCCACGATTTTACCTTAAAAGGTTCAACTAAAAACGAAGCCCCCTGAAGTGATTGCTGTGGTAATTGAAGGAGAACAGGTGGCAGCAGATAGGGAGGTACTGGAGAGCTCAGAAGAATCTGGCCCTCGAGCCCTTGGCTGGCATTGTGTCCATGTATTTTGGATTTGGACACAGCTTATGAACATTGCACATAGGTTTTTCATGACAATTGGAGCCTTCTAGAGTTTAGAAAAACAGGCCTATGCATACCTGATCAGCTTTTACAGATTGTGCAGTAGATCAGGGAAAGTGTCAGGAGGCCTAGATGGAGCCTATTGCTGGGCCTTCTGGGGAAGTAGTCCTTGGGAGTGGCGATGCTCAGAGTCCTAAGTGATCATCAGTGTCTCAGCGCTGATACAGGTTAACCTTGAATTAGAAGCACTATGTGGCTCCTAAACGGGTAATTTTTGAAGGAGGGGAGTGGTGCGTCAAGTTTTTTTTTTTTTTGTCTTTTTCATTTTTATTGGTACCAGAACTCACGACCGCACACTTGCAAGGAAGGCGCTTATGCCGCTGAGCTAAATCCCCAGCCCCTGTGCGTCAAATTTTTGCAGGAACTTCTTGCTTTAAAAACATGCTCTCTCAAGTGAGCTTTAAATGGGTACTTAATTC